TACTTAAGTCAGAAATAGAGAATTTTACAACTTTCAATCAAAGTACTTAATACAAACCATGTGGTGGTACTTTTAATTTAAAAATAYGATCAACATATTTTATTGTATTTTAAGACTCTGTACTACAAGATACTATATTTTCTAAAAGTACCTTTATATATTTCTAATTCATAATTTATGCAAATAACCTATAGGTACTTACTACTAATATTTAAATTTAATAATGAGATTTTTATTTTTGTTGTGAACTTTCATAATTTAATTATTTATTTACCTTTCAAAACATTCTATAAATAATTGAAAAAACAAAAAATTGTAATCATTTTAGAAATTTAATTRTAGAACTTACTTCCAATTATTGTGATTCGTTTCACAAAACGAGTAAAGTGCATTGTCATGGTCATCTGCAATATCCGTTTGGTCACAATTATTGAGGTTTATGTTGCTGTCATCATTTGTCTTTATAATTTCCATCGTACAACTGGCTGACATTCAAATAATTGTTTATAAAATTAACTTAAATAAAGTTTGTTCAATATGGTAGTAAAAATTATATTTTATAGTGTTTTCAATAACGAGTCAAGTTATAATTTCKTTGTTGTTATTGTTGCTATAAGTTTATAGGCATACGAACTTTACTATACTATATATTGGGAAAATTATGAAGCATATTAGTTTTAAGTTTTATATGAACACTGGAAATTACTGTTTCCTATAGCAAGTTCGCTATCAAACTGTCATATGTAAAGCAATTCGGTAAAAGAACACTGAATACGCTACCCACACGTTTGTCAGTTGCAGCTGTTAATACTATATAGCAGCCTATGTGTTATAGGGAGGGCCTATCGATTTTGTTGTATGACGTCAGCAATGGGTTCCCAAAGTTCGCATTTGAMTCAATGCATAGTATCACATAATATTGCAGTACCTACGTTGTCGAGTAGAATATGTAATGATACAGTAGTTGTATGTACTTAGAGCAGTCAAGTGATATCAATGGAAAATAAATAAGTATAGGTTTACGCTTGAGGAATTTAATGGATACTTATTGTATGATATTTACGTAAATAAATGCAATATAATTTAAATAGATTTTTGTGTGCTTTCGCACTTTTAAAATCACGTTAAATAGCTATTATTTACGTAGTCTAAATTATCAACTAATAATATGTCAACTACATAATATGTTGTATGTTGAATAACATTTAACTCATAAGTAGGTTGTCAATAATATTTTAATATTTTGAATGTGTAACACAATTATAAACTAAAATCATTAAAACGACCAGATTTATACTATATAGAGGTTGACCGCATACTATTTATTTAAAAAACTATTAATTTTGTATTTATTGTCATTCAGATTTTTAGAAATAGTAGGTAGTTAAAAATAAATACTGTTAAAAWTTTTTAAATATTTTTAAAAAGATATCCATTTGTATTTCGGTACCTATTATAGTAGGATGTGGTATACCATATACCCACTAAAATATAAAATATTAGCATAYTAATATCATCTAACATTATTGATATTAACTAAGTCAATGCCGAATTGCCAATGTACCGTATATAATGGTATATAAATAGGCTCGTGGCATAAAAAGCTTAAAATAAATTGTTAAATAAATAATTCAAAAATATAATTTTGTAAAATAATATAGGTACGTGGAAGTGAAAAGTTCCATGTCTTTGCGAATAATACATTTTCAAATTAGGTACAAATATACACCTACGAGTAGTACTTATTATCTTTTTTAAAAATCCAGCTACACAAAAATTAGGTCTTATTTATTCATAAATAAGAAATATTTAAAGGAATCTTGGAACTATGATAGCGTTATAAAATATACAGAAAAAACACGAATATAATAATAATTTATCAAATAATTTAATAATTTAAATAAATTTTATCCGAGTCTTGAGTTATAGCTAAGTATATAGAAGAACCTTTAATTCTTTATAGGTGAAGTACTTTGTTCTAATTTATTTTGAATGCGTTCATAATAAAAAGTTTGTATAAAGCAATAAAGAAATAAACATTCTTACTAATATTATTATGATTAGTATAAAATACATGAATAATSCACGGCAAAGTCTATTTTAATTATATTGAAATGCATTTTTAAATTCTGGACGAGTGATGAATATATTGGTTTTATAATATGTTTTTAGCAGTAAAAATGCGTTTATCTTCAACTTTGAGAGTAATTTCTACGGTTACATATTGGATCTAGTTGGTACCAAAAGTGATCAAAAGTGCACAAAGTGCAAAAAGTTGGTATTAGCTATAGTCGCTATAGGTGGGTATATGAATTATTTTGACTATTTAAATGTGTACATCTAATCTGGAAATCTTATGAATGAATAGCTTAATATTTTAATCGGTACTCTATGTACTTGGTACACGCGAACTACAAAGGCACAACTTAATGAAATAATATTATTATGGACTATGGTCATTGTTGTCAAGCCATTCAAAACGACATTAAACAACTATAGATATCGTCTGACGAAACTGTAGGACTTCAATAAGATGGATTTTAATTTTAATTTCATTAGACAAGCTTGTTTCGTCTTGATTTAAATATAATTTTAGATTCTGAGCGGAGCGAGGAATGTAT